CCTGCTTCTGAGAGAAAAAAATAGATATATATTTTAAATGGGAAATGCTAGTGTTTTATTGATCCCAGTGAACCTGGAGATATGCAAGCTGTGCATGGTCACAACAGAAAGTCTTCTAAATAACTGCCTCTGGGTTTTTAGATGACAGCTATTTAAGATACAAAGATATACCCATGCCTTAAATAATAATTAGAAAAATGTCTAACATCTTCAAGAGAAAATATGACTATTAAGTCTACACTACTTTAAAAGACAATATGTTCTTCTCTGAAGTATATTTAATCTGTAAATGTCAAGTTTCAATCTTCATTCAGAGTGGACACCATTTTAGGGTTTTTTTCCTGAAAGGTGAGAAACACATTACAATGGAGTGCAACGATCCTAGTAAAAGGTAAGAACCTAGCTTTAAGGTTCAAAATTTGCCCTCTTCTAAAGCTGTTGACAAAACTGGGTGTAGAGCAGTAGGTGATTTCAAAACCAGATGTTCAACTTATGTAGTTTAACTGGTAGAGCCACTGAGAAATATATTTGAGAGCAAGAAAAACCAGTTTTGACCACATGAGTTCAGACCAGGATAGAAAAGTTAAGATCATTGAAAATTAAACCCCAGCCAACTCTCAAATTAGAATTTTATACCCACCCTTGGGTTCATTTTACTATTAGCAACTGTATTAAAGATAGAGTTTCTATGAAATAATGATTTGTGAGAAGATAAATTATTTCATTACAACAGAATTTTGCTTTACTGGTTTCAAAGAGCTCTTACAAGGAATTCAAAATCTTACTCATTTTACATTGTAATCCTACTGTGATCAGTTGTTAATCCTGTTACATTTAAGAGTTAAAAGGGTCATTAGTTCAGTTTAATTTATTGGTTAAAAATAAGGTTTGATCCAAGCATTTCACTCTGCATTCCACTTATACATTTCCCACTGTTCTTTATTACTGGCACTTAATTATCTGCAGTAACAGAAGGATGCTGTCAGTAAAGGTAATCTAAAAATCATTTTTACTGGGCTTAGGGACACAATAGCTCTCCATTCCCAACAGCACAGAGCACTTTCTAAAACAGGAGGTCTTTCATGTCACCTTCCACTCAATTTTTTGCAGCTATGGGAACAAATTGTCCATTCCTAAAACAAAATACGATACCATGACTCTGCAATTTCCTTATCAAACTGCTAGTCATCTTCACATCTCAGTTCAAGCAATACTTCCTGTAAAAAATTTCCCCAAAGATTAAACACCCCTCCTTTGTGCTCCCACAGTACTACTATGTTCTTACACCAAGGTAACAGCAGTAGTTTATACATTAGTCTCATGACTAAACTGTGAGTTGTGGAAGGTGGATGCTGTGTAAAGCTCATTCTTGTAATGTGAAGCCCTGGTCTAGTAGCCAAAATACAACGAATAACAAATTATCAAAAATGTTATGCATAATTTGATAATTTTGCACTATTATTTTCCTAAAATAGTAAAACATGGGCAACTCTTGAACATGAGAGATGAAGAGTTGTATGAAATGGATATGGAACTCATTAAAAATTGGCTGTATGAGTGCCATGGATGACGTCTCAGTTAATTATCTGATATCTTCATGTAGAACATATGTGCATGTCTATATAAGGGAATCTTTGTGCTTTATCTTGGAAAATAAGCTCTCTTGCCAGCGTAGCAAAGAATCATCACCTGTATTTAAGTAAGTAGAAATTTTTAATCATTCTTATTCAAGACATCTGACCCTGTATGCAACTTTGGAAAAAAGACAAGACTATGCATACCCACATGCTTACATCTGTGGCATAATTTAGAGAGCAAAGGAAAAGTTGTAAAAAGTTCTTATCTAAAAACATTTGTAGTATGGAACTTACATAAATACATTATTGGAGGGAAGGGGATATTACAGGCAGAATAAAATTTTAAGGTCATTCTGACCAGAATATAAACAACTGGACTTCAGGTATCAATTCCAATTGTTTATATCCATTAAAAATTCACTCCCAGAGTATTACATCCCCTAGGTGTTGACTACTACCAGCTACCTCATCTAATTTAATCCTCACCTCAACTCAAGGAAAACTGCTATGTGTCCAAGGAAATCTGAAAAGGTTAAATAATTATGGCAAAATTAAGACTCAAACCCAGATCTCCTGACTCTAAATGCCTCATACACAACTGTTTCACAAGAGGCTGTAGAGCTGTAAATGAAATACTGACCCCCATTCCTGAAACAAAATGTTTATCTCATGAAAAAAATCTAGTTACACCATGTGTTTGCCTTGTTAACAAAAGTACACCGTTTGGTTTTTAAATCAAAAATTCATTTTTAATCTTACTTAGCTCTAGATAGAAAGGAGAGAAGGGAGTACGGGGAGGTTTAAAATAATTTTTACAAAAAGAACTAAAAAGTCCTACAAAATTAAAAAAAAAAATCTTTTACTAAATTCAATTTCACTTCGGCACTTTTACTCTCAGTAGTGCCAAACGACACTAGTCGTGACGAATCCATTTCCAGGACAGATTTTCCCCATTTATTACTATCTACATGTGTACGTAGAAAAAAAAATATTAACTGTAGTATTTTATGGTGCTTCTTCATACATGTTCATCGTCACTACGCAGTTCCATCAAGATGAGGGAATATTCTACAACTGGTACCTTCCATTATTTTCACTTCTTATGCCAACAGGTTTTATATATATCTATCATCAACTATTTCAATTTGAAGAACATACAATTTCCCACGATACAAAACAACTCCCGAAGTATCACGATATTCAAGAAATGGAGCGATCAATGAGCAAATCTTCACCGCAATTAAAGGGCTGGCAAAGACCCTTCAAATGGAGACCGGGTTGGCGGAGTCCCAACCCTCCCCGCCTTCTACACGGCGCTCACTAAATACTTCACTCGTGACACTCCCCGTCCGTAGAGCTCCAGAGGATCCTCCTTACCCTCATCCAAGAGGAGGCCGCCAAAGGCCAAAGTAGGACCCAAGCCCCTCGCCCTCGCCGACCACACGCCCATAAAGAAGACGTACAATCTGCCTGTCTACCCGTCACAAACTCCACCACCAGACGAAAGGCCACCGGCGGAGGCCTGCGCCCGGCCGCCCTTCATAACCGCGGTGCGGATCACGCTCCTCCGCCCCAACTAAAGACGAGGGAAGCAGCCTCCGCGTCCCCAGGCCTGCACTTCGTTTCCTCCCCTCCCCCACGCGGCCTTGGTTAGAACCAACTCCCCGAGAGGGAGAAGCCCGAGCGCCGCAGCTTATTACCCCTGCTCCCGAGCTGGCACTGAACAAGGCGCGTCCTGCTCGTAGCGGCCACACCACCGCCTTCCTCCTCCGAGTTCTAGGCCCCTAATTGAGGCAGAGCAGTCCGCAGAGAAGCACAATGGCGCCCGCCCCTCTCCCGGATCCGGCGCAGAACCAGCCGCCACCCGTTAAAAGCCCCTCCCTTCTTCTCCTCCCCCCACTTCACGGACTCCCCCCACCGACTTCTCGCGAGAGGGGCGGTCCTGCGGGGACCCGAGAGCTGCGGGCGGGCTCGACGTACCCTACCGCGGGGTGGTGCTCTGACTGCGGCAACCGTTGAAGGGCTGCCCCCGGGGAGGCAGCAAGGCGCCACCGGTAAGCAGCTGCGGCTGGTCGTCTGGCGGCCTGGCGGCTGGGCCAGCGAGGGTGCGGACGCCGGGAGCGGGGCGCTAGAGGCCTGGCCTTACTTGGCCGCCCTCGCCTGCCTGGCGAGAGGCTCTGATCCAGCCCTACAGCTCTCCGGCGCCTGAGTCCCCGCCATAGGCTCTTGCCCCCTCCCGTAAGCCTGCAGGACCCACTGCTTGAAATACTGCCCAGCTATTTTTTTTCTTTTTCCTTTTTCTTTTTTTTTGGCCCTTGGTAAGTGGCGCAGCGAATGTTTATTGACTTGAATCAAGCACTGCCTCTTCCGACCTCCCCTCCTCCCGCTCCCTGCCCGCCCTGTTTGTGGTCCGCGAGCCCTACCCCTTTCAGGGTAGGAGCCGGTTTCTCCGGGACCGTTCCTTCTTGGTGGTCATTCAGTCTTGGTGGTGGTATACTTTTACAGTTATGTCTTTTAAAATCGTGATACTGATCTTTGATAGTGTAGCTACATATTTGGCAGGAAAAATTCACTTAGAGGGAAGAAAATTGTGAGGTAAATGGTCTGGTGAAAATTAGGCGAAACTTTCAAAAACCTGTAGATGTGGTAAGCTTAATATGTAAATGATTAGTAAAAAATAAAAGGGAGTAAGTTAGAGAAGAAAGCCACAATTTATGTGGATTTAGATATTACGTGGATTCAGGTGATAATGTGCGTATTTTGAATAATTTATCAAACATAAAAATTCTTTACCGGTGAAGATAAGTTTTTGAAACTTGTAGGCTTACTCACGGCACCTGATTTTTAAAGTGACTTATTTTATTAGGTTTGAAGCAATGCATTGGATTCAAATAATTCCAATTAATGAAGTATGAGGTTTATATGTATTTTTTTGTCATTTCATCTGAAGGGAATGCACTATCACTTATCCCATTTCACTCTGGGAGATTAACAGATTGTCTGTGCTTCACTATTATAAATAAAGTGTAAAATATTATAAATTTTAAAGATTTAAAGTTTATTATTATTTAAAGTTGTCAGGTAAATGCCAGTCTATGTTTTTAGGATGTGAGTTAAAGAGCACCTGGTATGGGATACAGTGAACACATTACTTTAGAGGAAATTAATTTGCCCTTTTTAGGGAACACATTTTTTTCTCAGCCTGTTTGAATATACCTCTAGCATTGTGGCTATTGATATACACAACTGAAGCACCAGATTGCATGAGTATAAATCCTAGTTCTGCCTCTTATCTTACTACCTTTCTTGTCTTGAGCAATTCCTTAACCTTGCTAAAACCTGTTTCTGTAAAACGGGGTTTAATAACAATACCTGTATCCTATAGGATTGCTGAAAGGATTAAATGAGATAATGCATCAGTTCCTGGAACATCGTAAGCATTCCATAACTTACCTATTGTATTCCATGTCTAAACCACTGCTAATACTGTGTTTCTGGGGCTTAATATTTTATAGGTCCCTTAAACATCTTCTCAAGTATTTTCTACGCTAAGAGGAATGACTGCACCATTTTCCTGAGCTATGGCAGTCAGACCTGGTAGCACTAACTTCTCTACAGAACCCCCAAACCCTGCAAGAATGGTTCAGATTTTGGCAGATTATGGCTTCATCCCCACCCAGAACTGATGATATCAGCAGAGGTGAGTGTGGCACCAATTTTCTATGCTAAACATACCTTCCAGACTCTAATTTCTTAGTGATGCTAGTAATTAGGTAAAGATCGCTGATAACTATGTTTTTATTCCTTGAGAATGGTTAGTTATTGTCTTTTTAAAATACCTTCTCTGATTTGAGTTTCCATGTAACTATCACTATCAACAAATAATCATTGAGATTTTCCTATGTTAAAGACAATTTGATAGGAATTGTGGATACAGATGGGTTACAATGGTGACTATGTTTTCTGAACTAAAAATCAGTACAAAATGATTTGACAGGCAAAATTTTTGAATTCAGAACTGTTTGACCAATTTAGATTCCATAATTTTCTTTTTTGCACAAAATTCCCCTAATTGACCTTCCTTTGCTAAACTTTTTGTCCTTATGACCAACTCTGACACACCTTTTTATATCTAAATATCTTGGTTCATCACTTGCCCACACCACTCCTATTAGTTTCCATTTCTGAACTTGGCTTCTTCTCTACATTAGGCTCTTATTTACTATTATTAATTTCCCCCTTCTACTTTATAAATTTGTCATTTGGTCATGGCCATAACAGCCCTTTCCTCTTGTGGTTAAACATTTCTTCAACTATCTGATAGCTTAGAGATCTCTTTCAGATATTGAATTTAAAAGTTCCAATTTTTCTTACTTTTTTGTCACTCTACAACCTAACCTAAGATGCTTTTCTATGTAAGGGCAATCTTATAGATACTCTTCTCTTTGAATAAACCATGTGATCTTGAAAAAGTATGGTCATGTTTGCTTTTTATAAATTAAATTATTTTTAAATGTAGGTTATTTCTTAAGCTTTTGAGTAACAGGAGGTAATACCGGGGATGAGAAAAGAGTGGTTATAGGGAGGTCCCTGAGTTGAAAAGAAAGGATACCAATTTCTTCTTAAATGGGAATCTTATTAATCCCTGGAGAAGGAAACCATGTGGAATCAATCAATTTGGGGATCTACTATTTCAGGTTATGAGTAATTCTATTTTTTTAAGATTTTATTTATTTGGGAGAGGGAGAGCGCGAACACACATGGGGGATGGGGAGGGAGAGAGTTCCGAGCAGATGCCACGCTGAGCGGAGCCTGACATAGGCCTTGATCTCACGACCCTGAGATCATGACCTGAGCTGAAACCAAGAGTTGGATGCTTAACCGACTGAGCCACTCAGTGCCCAAGGAATAGATAATTTTAAATATGTAATATTATTTAATAATAGATTGAGGACTCATCCTTTTTTTTTTTTTTTTTAAAGATTTTATTTATTTGGGGTGCCTGGGTGGCTCAGTCATTAAGTGTCTGCTTTCAGCTCAGGTCATGATCCCAGGGTCCTGGGATCGAGCCCCACATTGGGCTCCCTGTTAAGCGGGAGGCCTACTTCTCCCTCTCCCACTGCCCCTGCTTGTGTTCCCTCTCTCGCTGTCTCTCTCTCTGTCAAGTAAATAAATAAAATCTTTAAAAATATATATATTTTATTTATTTATTTATTTGAGACAGAGTACAAGCGGGGAGGAGGGTCAGAGGGAAAGGGAGAAGCAGATTCCCTGCTGAGCAGGGAGCCCCAAGGGGGGCTCAACTCAGGACCTCGAGATCATGACCTGAGCTGAAGGCAGACATTTAACCAACTGAGCCACCCAGGCACCCCTAGGACTCTTCCTTCTTACTTAAAGATCCTGTGCTTTAAATCTTTGATGTAAAGAATTCCTTTCATTCCAAAAATGATAAACCCCTGATTTAGTGATTTTGTGAATTTTAATTTTTCCCTTAATTGAAGGGAATTTTAAAAATTTGAGTTTAATCAAAAGGTACCACATTTAATAAATAAACATCCAAGACACTGTTGATTTCTGCTGCAATAATTTTCAATCCCCAAAGCTAATAGATGAAACAATATAAAAACAAGTAAAGAGAATACCATTTTAAAACCCTCGCTGAAAAAAAGGGGGGAAAAAACCCACCTCTCTGAGAAACCCTTTCTTTTTATTTTTTTTTAAAGATTTTATTTACTTATTTGACAGAGAGAGAGAGAACGCAAGTAGGCAGAGTGGCAGGCAGAGGGAGAGGGAGAAGCAGGCTCTCCACCAAGCAGGGAGCCCAAGCCCCTGAGAAACGATTTCTTATACCTAAGCTCATGATCAAGAACTCACTGGTTCGGGGTGCCTGGGTGGCTCAGTTGGTTAAGCGTCTGCCTTCGGCTCAGGTCATGATCCCAGGGTTCTGGGATCGAGCCCCACATCGGGCTCACTGCTCAGCAGGGAGCCTGCTTCTCCCTCCCTCTGCCAGCAGTTGCCCCTGCTTATGCTCTCTCGCTCTCTCTCTGTCAAATAAATAAATAAAATCTTAAAAAAAAAAAGCACTCACTGGTTCTAGGAATATCATTCTTGCTCATATAGCTACTCTAGAATATATGATCAGAAGCAATTCCCAATTTATGAGGCACCTGGAATCCATATGTGAAGCACATTTCACACTGCCTGAAACATAGTTTTAAATAAAAACAGCTATCTTTTAATATTAATAATACTAGGGGTTGGAAAAATATGGTATACAGGCCAAATCTGGTTTACTGCCTATTAGTGTAAATAGTTTTATTGGAACACAGGCAGGCTATGTTTATGTATTGTCTATGTATTAGGGTTGGCCAGAGAAACAGAACAAATAGTACATAATAGTACTACCTATTTATTTATGTGTCTAGAGAATTGGCTAACACAGTTGTAGGAGCTGTTAACAGTGAAATTTGTAGGGTAGACCAGAAGGCCAGAAACTCCAGTGGGAATGGATAGCACAGTCTTAAGGCAGAATTTCTTCTACAGAAAAGCTGTTTTTGCTCTCAAGGCTGATTAGATGAGGCCCATCATATTACCAAGGAAATCTCCTTTACTTAAAGTCAACATATTGTAAATGTTAAGCACATTTACAAAATACCTTCACAGCAATGCCTAAATTAGTGTTTGATTAAATAACTTGATATTCTATATTCACTAAGTTAACTCCTAAAAATAACCATCACCACCTATGACTGCTTTTACCCTGCAGTGGCACAGTTGACTAGTCGTGATAGAGACAATAGGGCCCAGAAAGCCTAGGATATTTACTATCTGTTTTTTTACAGAAAGTTTGCCGACCTCTCGAGTAAACCGTGAAACCCTATTGAACTAACTCTGTTCCTTTAATAACCGTCAAGCTAAACATACACACATCAGAATGATAATATTTGGCCTCTATGGCTACTTCAGTTTACATTTTATGAGACTATAAGCAGAAGAGTATCCAAATACTTACATAAATTCCTTGGGTATTTCCTCTGGCAAGTTTGGTCACTGTCCCCTTCTCTTAATGTTTCTTCATGTGTATGATCTTATAACAATGTAGGTATGTGATTATGCATACTAGCTATTTTAGTACAGGACTTTTCTCTTGCTTTTTTCCCCATTCCTTCATAATTTGGCTCTCCTGCCTCTAATTACGACTCTACAAATATCCTTACAAAATTAGTATCTTTCTGCACTTTTTTCTGCATGATCACACAGTCTTAAAAGAATATTTCTAGAGGTGCAGTTGGGTAAGCATGCAACTCTTGATTTCAGCTCAGGCCATGATCTCGGGGTCCTGAGATTAAGCCCAGTGATGGGCTCCACACTGAGCCTGGAGCCTGCTTGGGATTCTCTCTCTGCCTCTTCCTTTTCTCCTCCCCACCCAGTACACGCGCACTCTCTCTCTTTCGTAAATAAATAATAAATAAATAGAAGAATAGTTCTGTAACACACACGTGCATGTGTGCTCTCTTTCTTCTTCTCTCTCCACACACACACAGAACTCTTCATAGTTTTTTTAACCATTTATTTTATAAAATAGCATCAAATTTCACTGTGGATATTCATCTTGCTTTTTCAACCAAAAGTACCTCTTATCTAAATCCCTATTTATATTGATTGCTTATCCTTTCTTTTCAATTGTGGTAGCTGTTACCACTCTGTCCTGTCTTCATAGTGTTTTTTCAACTCTCTCATCTTTTTCTTGACTTGCTATTTAGTATCTTTAGCTAAAGATACATTCATGTGGTAAAATGTGTCTGTGATTTCTTTTATAACTTTTGGGTTTCTAGCTTAGTTTAAAAAGTCATACCTATCCCTGGACTATATCGTGTAGTATCCTAGATTTTCTAGACTATGTTTAATTAAACTCAAATTAATTTTTGTATGTGGAATAAGGTAATAAGATACAATTTTATGTTCTATTCAATGGATAGCCAGCTATGCTAGTAGCATTTCTTAAATAATCCTGTCTTTATGTATGGCTTTTGTCACACATTGAATTTTCAAATTTATACTGGATTTATTTCTGGATTTCCTATTGTGAAAACTAAACTATTCAGAACTATAAACTATGCAGAGAACTATCACTTAGGTCCCTTTTGAATCCTTTTCACATATTGATACTGTTGTGCATTTCAGCCACCTAAGTATTTAATAATAAGAAATTGTAACTCTATTTCCTCCAGAATCACCCAGTACATCTAACTGGCTTGCATTATATACAATGCATGTTATACTACTAACCTGCCTAGGAATTATCTTAATTTTTTTCCACTATTCATTTCCTTTTCTCAGCAACTTGCTAAAGCCATTGAATATACTTCATTATTTAAAAACACCTTATCGGGCGCCTGGGTGGCTCGGTCGTTAAGCGTCTGCCTTCGGCTCAGTTCATGATCTCAGGGTCCTGGGATCGAGCCCCACATCGGGCTCCCTGCTCAGCGGGAAGCCTGCTTCTCCCTCTCCCCTCCCCCTGCTTGTCTCTCTCTCTGTCAAGTAAATAAATAAAATCTTTAAAAATATATATATTTTATTTATTTATTTATTTGAGACAGAGTACAAGCGGGGAGGAGGGTCAGAGGGAAAGGGAGAAGCAGATTCCCTGCTGAGCAGGGAGCCCCAAGGGGGGCTCAACTCAGGACCTCGAGATCATGA